ACCACAAACTTTGCCATTCAGATCAATCTATGGGTGCTTTCCCAGAGATTTAGATCGATCTAAAGATTAAGTTATAGATCGACCTAACTCCCTGGGGGTTCACGCTAAATTGCAGTCAGCCGAGCGGACACCATAGTTAATTACCCCCTAACAGCGTTTAGTAGGCGGGACAGACGCTTAAGCCGGCCAAGCTGACAGTAATCTAGTGAGACTCCCCACAGGGATAGATCGATCTAAAAATCTATGGAAATGGGGTGTATCTGAGTGCAGTGTGAACACATACCTGACATCTCCCCCCCTTCCCCATTGTGTGTCAACTGAAATTCACACGTACAAATCCGTCCTATCACGCCACCCATCCAAACAAATTAAATTCACATCTTATGCAACTGTGCTGATCAGTTTTTGTTACGTTTGAACTCAAATAATAACACATAATCATAAGCATTAGGTGGTAGTACCACTTTAATTAGTTCTGGCTCATGGATTACATTGCTATAATTACACCATCTGTGTGAACTATAGGAAAAGAATGAAACATCAGAACTGGATAAGAATTGCAGTTGACGCATACATGTGTGTGTGGATGTGTGTGTGTGTATGTGCACGCGCATGTGTGTGTGATGTGGGGGGACAGGGGGAATTTCCACAAACAATGGCTTTCACATATAAGCCTTGACACTTTGGGTATATAATATATCAAAAATGACATTGGAAAAGGGGGAAGAAAAGATCAGTATTTCTGATTTAAATCGAAAAAATATCATGTATATTACTATTTCCATAAGTTCAGCTAATACCATGTAAATCTTTTTCATAATTTTTTTTTTCAGATATATAATAATTCGAGTAATAAAGTGAAGATTGGTATTATATCTTATAGTTTTCTATTTCCTGGTGTTAAAATATTTAAAAAAAACTGAGACTCAGAAGTGACAGGAATCAATTATTTCACAAGAAAGCACTTTATTCACTATCTTTTAGAGACAAACTAAATTAGTAGTCTGTATAAAGCACAAAAGAGACAGATCTTGTGCTGGGTCAAACTTTTCAAGATAGCAGATTACCAAGTGGAAAAAAATACTACCTTCCTTTTATACATCCAACCCAATTATAGGCAGTTGAAAGATAAACTTGAATTTCAAGTAGATTAAAAAAAAGATAGTAACCTGAGTAAAATGGGCAATCAGTTAGACACAGTCTGAAGGGAGGTGTCACAACCAGTGACAAATAATTCACATCCGGCCTGTGGTCAAATATAGCATCAAGTTTGAAATATCTGATTTTCAAACCCTACATTATGACACTTCTCTTTTTAAAGCAGCCCAATTCACTGAGCCAGACAGGTATTATAATAATACCTCTCCTCATAAGACATTCATTTCAGGGAGCACTTTACAAAAGGGTCTTATAAACCAAATCCTTTAAAATTTCACTTTTTTAAAGGTGAAATAAAATCCAGAAGCCTCAGATCTAATTTTCAAGTACATGTACTAGGGTACAATCCCAGCTGCCTTTAAAAAACAATTTAGTTTGGATAAAGAGATATTATATAACCAACATGTCTGTTGTCTACCAAATCCTGTCTCGAAAAGTTGAGTAAAATAACAGTATCAAAAGCACTTGACATATTAATTAAAGATATGGCTAGATAAGAAGTTATTCTATTTCAGACAGCAGACAGAATAAAATGAAATGACAGAGAAAAAATACAACACATTCTATGTCATGCACCTCCGCTGACTATGACATCAATGAGGTTTAAAATATGTATGTCAGGTCACGAAGCCGATCTTTGCCCCACTTATTGACAGACACATCAAAGACTTAAACCTAAATGTCTTCTTTTAATATAACATCCAAACAGGGGATCCAAAAATGTCATGCACATATTATATACTGCGTGCACACACACATTCAGAAACACACACACACACACACACACACACACACCAAATCTACAGTCATCGCTTCCTCTTTTTACTATACAACTTCACATATTATATATTCAAGTAGGAGTCCGAGTAGGCTGAGCACTTGAAACATACTGCTCTGTGCAAAAATGTTTACAAACACCAAGTCATATGCACAGCTGGTCTTCAGAGAGCTTGATGCTCTAAGTAAGTTATTTCTGAACTCTCTAGTACCTGTGAAATAATTTTGCGACTACTGTATTTTATCCCAACCAACAGAGAAACAATGCTTTCCTCATCCCCACCCCAGGTCATATAAAGGCACGGTAACTAGGTATATTTTCAAACCCCCTTTTTTCTGATATTTTACGTTTTCATGCGTCTCATATTCAGAAATTCACAACAGTAATTTTTTTGTCATTAAACCAACAAACTTTCAATAACTTTTAAAGTAACATTTAAGTGTTATAATAGTATGACAAAACATTTTTGGGGTAAATCATTAATTCATGCTGTACAAACTTATTGAGTAATTACTGTAAGACTTAAAGGTAACACTAAAGGTACATGTACACACTTAATGGGACCAAGAAAAGGTCAACTGGTACCAAAAGCCTTTGACCAAGTTTCTTTAAAAGCATGCTACAGCTTAAAGGGTGTGTACACAAGAGAAGTAGCATTGTGTCTTAAATGCTAGAAACAATGTAGACAATAGCAGACATAATATTATCACAATACATTTGAGGGTGCCAGCACATTAATTCATAAAATGCATACCCGGTTCTTTTTCTACAGTTATAAAAATGATAGTATAAGTGCAGAAAAGCACCTGCCATTCCAGTCCCAGGAACTGACAACTGCAAAAAGGGCTACAACAAGGTGCTGAAAACAGTTCCAAATTCATAAATATTTTAAGATGTTGCACAAATCAAAACAACATTAGCACATAAAACATGAAAGTAAAAGAAGTAAAAGTTTAAGAAGATATATCCATAGACTTGGTAATGGAGTATATTATTCCACAAGCCAGGTAAAAGAAAAAAAAAACTCCACAGACAGCATGTGCTACTACTCCATTACCAGGCACCCCCATTTGAACTGCTGCCTGCCGAAAAAGCAGATGTCAGAGGAGTATGCCAAAACTGACTGAGAGCCACGGCCTGGTCGGCCACGTTGTTACACGTGGGTGGCACATTGAGTTAAGCAGGATTTCACACATTGCACAGAGGCGAAGAACAATACCCCAGTCCGTAAACAAAAACAGTGCGATTACATCAGTTGTTCACCAACAGCCCATTACTTAGGGCGCAATTCTCACATCAACAAAGCAAGTAAAAGAAAACAATTGGAGAGCCGAGTGTCGGAGGTTTGTTGCAATGTTATAAAGCGCCATTGTCCCGCCATTAAAGCACAGTTCCAATTTGTTGTTTTTGCAGCAATACAGTGAAATCTCCCAAACAGAGGGCTACCTTCAAAGAATAAACATCCATAATTGTAGTAAACTGTGTAGATGGGTGAGGTGTTCACCCATGTAATACAACCCTCACTAGAAGATGAATGAAAGTTCTCCCGATGGTAATATTGACTTAACAGGGCAGGAAGTCCTTACAACACTGCTCTTAGGTAAAGTATAACTTCAATTGACTGCCTGGCTCTGTAGAACAAGAGCCAGTCTGGAAGCACACTGGGTACAATGGCCCGCAGTTCATTACCTCTTGTTCTACGCTTTTTCTGGGCAAAAACAGGCCCCTCCTTATTTTAAGAAACAGAGAATCATTCTTCAGCCCCCCAGAAATAATAGGGCTCTATACTGATTTGCTAGTATTACGAAAAGGTAACAGGTTAGAAAAGCAAGGAAAAGACACATTCACTTCGAGGAGGATAAACACAGACAGCTGACGGCAGTTATGAAGCCTAGCCATAATTAGGCACAATGCAAACTAATGAAATAATACAACTTAACAGTCAGAACCGTTATGATGTCAAGCTAACAAGAAATATGATTTTTCACCTTAGAGCTCTAAAAGCCTATCAGCACACAAATCTTGGTCCGTTCTACCCCTGCCCAATCTGAGGCCACTCCAACTGAGAGTAATTAAAGGTACATTACATGCTTTAAGGTGTAAATACAAATAGAAACAAGACAGCTGGGTCCTATGAAAATATGGTTTGAGGGCTAGCTACTGAGACCACCTCTTAAGTCAAAACAGTCTGGTGGGATCTGGGTTTTGAAATTGAGATAGAGGTTTCATTGATTACAAGATGCTTGTCTCATGGCTAGATAATAAGCTGCCATCCCCATTTTAGAACAATATTGCCATGAAAGTGCCATAAGGGGTTGTTCACACTGCACGCCAATAATCATAATGGGAATGCGGAGTTATATCTAGCCTGCTTTTTTCAGCAGCCTGCCTTGGTTCTTTTTGTATACTTTTTATTTCTTTGCAAAACATAACAGGGATAAAGGGTTTTAATTAGTCAATTTTTAAATCTTAGTCCTAAAGGCTGAATGCTAGCTGTGAAGTTTATGTCTCTATTTCAAAACAGCGAAGTGGGGACTTTTAAATGCTTACAAAGACAAAGTTTTGCTCTATGGACTCCTGAAAGCACAGGTACTTGCAGTAGTTGCATCAGTATAAGCTGCCCCGGTAATGCACCTGGATAGGCCAAAGGTAGAGTGCTTGCTTTATCAAGCATGAATATCAGTACTCTTTTACATCAATTTGAACTGATTGCTATTACTGCTACTTTAGCTTCAGGGAACGGGCTAGTTGCTATTTGCCGTCTAAACACAGACTAGTCCAATCATTATCATAATCGCAAATCTTACACGTAAAGGGCCTTCGCTATGTCTGGCCGTACTTTCGATATCCAAATGCATCGAACAGTGCAAATGCTGTGGGAAAAATTATCATAGTCATAACCTTATTTCTACAATAAAATCAAAAACTTATATCAATCACTTGAAACCTGCAAGCCGACAGGCCCCGTTTGATGTGCTACGTAACTTATACAAGCTGCTCTACTAAGGTGACCAGGGTGTTTGATCAAACTTTCAACACAATGAGGGTTATTAAGTCTACATACCATGCCTTCGCAGAGACTGAGGGCGACTCTCGAGCTGTCTTTCCCGTTGACTTGGCCGCGGTAAAAACACCCCAGACCCCCGTCCTCGACCTCTTCCAGCCACGACTCGCTCTCGTTGAAATGCATTACTTGGAAATGGGGCGCTATGAAGTCCGTGTGAGAGCTGAGATTTAGATGAAATCCTGACCGTAAGCACTGAATCTGTACGCCGTAGACTCACTCCACGCCTGTACACTTCTTTTTCTGAAATGTTTACGTTCGTTGTAAGGTGTCCCATCAGCTGATAGACGTATTGGAGTAACGATTTCGTAGTTTTTGATAAAATCCCAGTCGGCGGCGATGGCAGCGCTCCAAAGAACTAAAGCGAAGACTACACGTGATAGATACATAACTAGTTTTTTATCTGCAGTTCTGGACTTAATATCCTCGATCTATAACAGTCGTGATTTTATAGCCCTACTCAAGCGTAATACTCGAACGTAATCCACAAGAATTATTACCATCCGGGGTTACAATGTCGCATCAATCAAAGCACAAATGCAAGGCCCGTTTCACGTCGGCGGCGTGAAAGTTGCTTGGCAGCTCTTCCAATGGGCCGAGATCCGTCGTCGTCAACTTTTTCCCCATGTACATATACAACGTCCTGCAGCCTGTGCATCATCACATGAGGTAGACGTAAATGATGGTCCCTTCTTCGTCTCCGGCCAGCGGCGGGTCAGTCTGTACCTGAATCCTCCTGTACATTACCCTACCGGCTCTCAGCTGAGTTCCATGCTCAACTGTGAGTGGCTCGGATGATCTGACCGCAGAGCCCCGCCCCCTCCACTAGGCCACCAATCATGACGCATGGGATTATGTCAATCATGTTACCTGTGGTGTTGACATTTTTCATTCATAGAAATCGATAAGGTGACGGCCCGAAAAAGTCATCTTCCGTTCAGCATTTATGTCTTGACAAAATTTGATAATAAGTTAGTGGTGACATGCGGATTACGTGAATTGAATACAGGAAAACAAATTCATATTGCTTTGAAAAAGGATAGGGGCTTGTGTAGATGGTAAAAACCAAAATGAGTAAGAGTCAGAACATAATAAAGATCCTTGAAAGGGTGAAATTGTAGTGGAGGAAGAAACGATACCTTAGACGTTATGAACAACCTTAGTGGTAAAAATATCTGCACAACTTTTTTTACTTAACTTAAGCTGTCATCATGGGGTATTAATTTCAACCTCACGTAATCCTTTTATTTCCTGCCTAAGTTTAATTTCATCCTCACGTAATATTGCAATTTCTGAACATAGGCGGCATTTTCACTTCTAAAAGTAAAAAGGCGGATCCAGGATTATTTGAAGGGGGGTCTGCGGATGGGGACCCCCCTCCCTTGGCGTGGGGTCCGGGACCCGCTAAAGGGACCCGAATATTTTGGGTATTTTTAAAGGCAAACGGTGCCATTTGGTACGGTTTAGAACATGTCAAAATTCTAATTTCAAGAGGGGACCATAGGTGTGATTTTATTTTCAGAAATCGAAGGGGGGTCAGGACTCCCTTGACCTCCCCCCCCCCCCCCCCTC